CCTTTACTGAGGAACTCTCAGTAGTTTCACACACATGCACAGGCTTATATGCAAAATCAATGCTGTGATATCACACTTCTGGAGCTACACTTGCAAAAACTGCATATAACAAATTAATAACTTTCTAAATTCCTTTATGGAATTCAGTTCCAATGCTAGAGATGATATGAAAATGAATATAATTTATATAACACACTAAATTATAAAATAATGTTAACATTTAAAATACTGGGCAACAGTTCTCTGTAATCATGCTGAAGTCAGTGCCTGCCTGGCCCTGCACGGCTTCATCTCTATCTCTGGATAACGGACCAAACCTATATCCTACATCCCTGCAAAGTGAGTTACCTTCAGACTATCAGCAAAATATGTCTAAGATCCATGCATTGTGCACACCGCAGAGAGGCACTTCCTGAGGGAGTGGGTGGAGAGCTTGGGAATAAAACACCACCTGCTACTCATAAAGCTAAACCAGAAGAAAATGCCGAGGAAGAAAAAGCAGATAATTAGAGGGCGGGGAAAAGCAGACAGATGAGCTGCCATGCAGGGAGAGAAATGATCAACTGGATTTCACTTTCTTTCTTTCTTTCTTTTTCCATAGTTTTCCTTTTATTGAAAAGATTCTTTTCTCATGCTGAAGTACATTTTCAAAATTTAACAAGTGTACTAAATCTTCAAATGAAAATTTACAAAGTGCTCTGACTTTTCCAGAAAGCCATGATTACATAAAAATACAAATACTTTCTACAACTTCCAGATCCACCTGCAGTAAGAACGTCACACATTTTAAATTAAAACAGCAGAGAAAGTTTGGAAGTTGACATCTATTAGACAAATGAAACATTTGGTTTTTCTGACAGAAGCAGTAGGAATATAAGAGTCTACGAGGAGAAGATGGCACATGGCTCAAGGGGTCAGGGCACCTGCCCAGAAACTAGACGACTCCATCAGTTCCAAAGACGCACACGGTAGAAAGAGAACCTACTCCACAAGTTGTGGTCGGCCCTCCATGAATATTCCATGGTATGACACACAATAAATAAATAAACCAATAAATAAATAAATATCCTTTTACTTTATTTTTGACACAGGATTTCTCTGTGTACCCGTCTGTCATGGAACTCTGTAAACCAGGCTAGCCTCAAACTCAGAGATCCACCAGCCTCTGCCTCCTGAGAGGTTGTTTTTGTTGTTGTTGTTTGGTTTGTTTGTTTTTTTAAAGAAAACTCGGAGCTATGGGCTGTTCCTCAGTGGTAGAGCACTTGCCTGCCACATGTGAGCCTCTAGGTTCAATGCCCATAGTGCAAAACAAGGATATTATCTTCAACAGTCCAATCTCTAATAGTTTTATCCTGTGGTCTTTTGTAATGATGGAGGCATCTCTGAATTGGCAAGTGTCTTTCATTGGTTCATCAGAGTGTTGATATTGTAGAATTTTTATTTTGTGAAGCCAAGCACTGTACCAAAAGGAAAGGGGCAAATTCAGGATATAAATAAGTAATTTATAGGAAGAGATTTATTGCCAGGTAGTGGTGGCACACACCCAGCACTCAGGAGGCACAGACAGGCAGATCTGTGAGTTCAAGGTCAGCCTGGTCTACAAAGTGAGTTCCAGGACAGCCAGGACTACATAGAGAAACATTATCTTGGGGGGGAGGAGGGACAGGAGGAAGAGAGGGGAGTTTCGCTGGTTGTTTGGCTAGCTTGTTCCAAGTTCTCCCAGTGAAGACCGCACTGGTTTAAAATCATGACTCCTAGCATCCCTGACCAAAGTACTGAAATTGTAAGCATATCACTGCCAATACCTGGCTCCTTGTATTTTCACACATTTCTACTTCTGAGATCTTTAAATCCCAGCACTTGCATTTGAAGAGTGGCTATGATCTATAAATTTTCTAAGTACCTCATCCATTTGAAATGATGGCTACTGCCTTGTCATTACAGTTGAGATTCTATTTTTGAAGTGCTAATAATAATTAGCTTTTCTTTCCCTACCACATTAAGTAGCTTCATAACTTACCAAAGCCTTCTGGTTTTGAGCTTGGCCTGTAGCACAGGCTAGCCTTGAACTCATAATCCTCCTGCCTTAATAGCATCTTTGTCACTATGCTTTAGGGACTCACTCAGCCTCACGGGAAGCTACAATTATAGGTGTATGCCATTATACTATCACAACATTTTTACAAGTGAACAATAGATATCTGGCTCTTCTAATACCTAATGTATACAAGTAATGAATTTCCAGAAAAGTTGGAGCAACAGGACATATACATATACATATATATATATACATATATCGATACAGGAGAGGGGATTTACTGCAGGACTTAGCTGCTGTGGCTATAAAGGTAAAGAAGTTCTACAAGAGGTCATCTGGATGTAACTCTCAGTACAAGGTCAAAGACAAAAGACCCAGGGAAGAGGTAAAGGGTGTTACAGTAAAATCTGGAATCCAAAGACCTGGGAACCTGGAGTTCAAATATCTAAGCCAGAAGAAAACTACCTCCCAGATCTAAGAGACCAGTGGTATTTTTGAATTTGCTATCTACAAGCTCAGGCTGATCTGGTAGTCATGGGCCACAGTGACAGCCAGATCTTCCCTATCCGGTCCATTCAGATTCACACGTATCTCCTCTGGAAACACATGTATATACACATCAAATATCTGTTTGTTCCACATAACATGATTCAACTGTTCTACAAACAACTGAAAATACACTTCTACTGCTCACACAGCTTGTGATACCACCACACCAGCCCCCAGTGGAAATCAGGTTTTGAGATTTCTGCTCTCCAGATTTAAAACTCTGAGATTTTAATCTTTTAGAGCTGTGCACTGGGAAACCTTTGGACTTCAAGGATTTAACCTAAGAACTTTGATCACTAGACATGGTGTCACTCACTTTTAATCCCAGCACTCAGGAGGCAAAGGCAGGCAGATAGATCTCTATGAGTTTGAGGCCAGCCTGGTCTACATAATGAGTTCCAGGCCAGACAAGGCTACATTAGAGAGGCCAAGTCTCAAAAAAGAACTTTGATCTTTTGGGATTTCAAGGTTTGCTTTTTATAACTACAATCAGTACTACTAGAATAAATTTCACAGGAAGTATACACCCATGAAAAGAAGAATACAATTTGGTAATAAAATCTAAGCTGCCATCTGGAGGTGTGGCTTAGTTGATAACATGCCCGTAGACCTGGGTTTGACTCCTAGCACTGAACAAACCAAACATGGTGGTGTGTGTCTGTAACCCCAGCACTCAGGAGGCTGACATAGGAAGACAGCAGGAGTCTGAGGTTAGCATGGGCTATGGAGCAATTTCTATTTCAACCTGGGACAGAGCTAAAATCCTGCTTTAGAATAGAAAATGACCGAGCCAGGCTGGAGAGATGGCTCAGAGGTTAAGAGCACTGGTGTTCTTCCAGAGGTCCTGAGTTTAATTCCCAGCAACGACATGGTGACTCACAAACTTGTAATGTGATCTGGTGCCCTCTTCTGGCCTGCAGGCATACATGCAGACAGAACATTGTGTACATAATTTTAAAAAAAGGAAGGAAGGAAGGAAGGAAGGAAGGAAGGAAGGAAGGAAGGAAGAAAGGAAGGAAGAAAATAACTGAGCCAGGGAGAAGGGCATAGTTACAATAAAAATCCAAACACTACAGAAGTTAATTACCACAAGAGCAAGGCCAACCTAGTCAATACAACAAATTTCAGGGAAGCCAGAACTATATTACCAAAATTTTATCAGAAAGAAATAAAGACAGACAGAAAAAAAAAAGACAAGACAGGGAAGGATCTGGAGATAAAACTTAAAGGTAGAGGCTTTATCTATTATGTGTGATAAACCTTAGATTGGCAGTCTTAAAACCAAACAATTATATGTGTACAATCTCACTTGATAGTCAAGACTTTTTCACACTCAAATCTACTATATACCCATTTATAATGTATTTTATTCATTTATAAATAATTTGTATTGATTTTGTAGTGAATTTTAAATCAACTTTAAATAAATATTAAACACCATATTTCATGCATGCTTTCTCTACCTACCAGCTTTCTGTCAAAAAGATCGGGATCACTGAGAAAATATGCACTTCTTCAACTAGTCTAACTAAGACAAGGTATTTTCACTTCCAATGATGTCACTTTTCTTCAGTCACCATTCCATTAATTCTCTCCTTCCTCTTTTGTGACTTGTGTCTACTAAAACCTTATATAATCCTTCCCCTTCCCTTCCTATTAATACACCCTCTTCTGTTACTCTCCTTATTAGACCACTGCTCATCCGGAGGCGTGTACATATTCCACATCCCCCCACACCCACACTGTCTCTTTGGTATGCCACAGGAGATCTTACCGGTAGCCTGTTTCTTATCACAAATAAGTCTATCAGTTTCCAATTCTGATATTGCCAAATTAGATACATCCAACCTAATTAACTTAATTCTGTTTTTATTTTCAATGGAAGATCTTTATTTTGTTCTCTATAGCTCAGAGAAAAACTATATTTATAAGAAGAAAATAAACAATGAGGATATTTCAAAAAATTTTAATGGTAGGTATATAAATATTCTATTTATTTACTATTCATATTTCTAAACTACTTAGTAATGAAAAAATAAAGCTGTGCTGATCTGTGAATTATTCAAATAACAGTGAACTAATAAATTTCAATTTCCTGAGCTGTCCTCCAACTGAGGTGCTCTAGGGTAAATCCTACTCTTCCTTATTGCTGTTATTGGTAGCCTTTTTGTGTTCATCTATTCATTGTATGTGTATGTGTCCAAGCATGTGCAAGTGTGTGGAGGTCAGAGAACAGCTTGCCGGAAGGAGTTTTCTCCTTCCACCCTAGGTCACTGGGATCAAACTTGGGTTGTCAGCCTGTGCAGGGCATGTCTTTACTCATTGTGCCATCCGACCATCCCAATTCCACAGTTTAATCAGTTCTCTGTGCACGGGTATTTGATGTTGTATACATGAAGTATCTACTACTTACTTATCAAGGAAATCTTTGTCTACTACGGCAGAGATGTCAAGAAGAGGATTTCCCATGCCAAACAGCACATTTTCACTAAAAAAAGAAAAAGAAAAAAGAAGTTAGAAAATATAAATATGAAAATAAATAAATAAAAGCCTAACATCTAGTTTAATTAAACCTCTGATTTGCCAATTAGATGTAGGACAATATTTTAGAGATAATATAAAGCTATTTAGAAAAACATTGGGTAGGTTAGTGAGATGACTCAGTGGTGAAGTCTTGCTCATGCAAAGAATCTGGGTTCAGTTCCCAGTATCCACATGGTGACTCACAACCATCTGTAACAACACTTCCTGAGGACCCAACATCCTCTACTGGCCTCTATATATGTATGCATAAGGTGTACATATAGCTAGGCAGGTAAAATATCATATACAAAAAAAAGATTAAAATAAATTAAATAAACCTGAAATATAACAAGGAAAATGATCATTTATTATTGTCATAACATTCAATCACCAATGATTTTTCTGTTAAGTTAATAAAAGCTAGAGTCATTTGGGAAGAAGGACTTTCAATTGAGAAAATGTTCCCATCAAACTGGCCTGTGGGCAAGCCTGCGGCACATTTTCTGAGCACATTCTCTTGAGTAAGGATTAAAGTGGAGGACCCAGTTCACCGTGGGCAGTGTTACTCCTGAGCTGGTGGTTCCCAGTGCTCTAAGAAGACAAGTTGAGTAAGCCATGAGAAGCAAGCCAGTCAGCAGCATTCCTCCATGGTCTCTCAGTAGTTCCTGCCCCAGGTCCCTTCAATAAGGAACTGTGATTGTGACATGTGAGAGGAAACAGACCCTTGCCCTCTCAAGCCGCTTGTGGTCATAGTTCTGTCAGGGCTACAGCAACACTAATCCATGTGATACCCTACGTAATACAAGTGCTATATAAAAAAGCATTCATTCTTATCTTTTTCTATCAGATATATATCTTGTCTAACCCAAAAACTATTGCTGACCCACACTGCAATTAAAGGTGTGTACAACTATCCAGGGATCACACACCTAATTTTTAAATAAAAGCACCTATTTAAGAAAAGCAATCCTCTATGGTGTGCACTCAAGATGGGACAAATTAAAGGGGTGGTGGGGAAAAAAAGAAAAGAAAAGCAACTCTGATAGGCAGGACATGATATACCAGCACTCAAACAGGATATCTCCTAGAGTTCAAGTCAGCCAGGTCTACAGAGAGAGTTCTCTATGTGGCCAGTGCTACACAGCAAGACCCCACCTCTCTCTCTCTCTCTCTCTAAAAAAAAAAGCAAAAATGGTTACATCATAACTATTCAGATGTAGAGAGAGTCAGTCTATATATTCCATTTAGAAATATACTTTAAATAAGTGTAGATATATACTATACATACCTACATATAATATATACTACACTTATATAAAAGTTTTATATATAAGAACATAGAAAAGGTAAAATGATTTGGGGAGAGATAAGCCATAAAATCACTAGTCATAAAAAATGTAACTTGCAGTTGCTATATTATTATCAGAGAAAGTACACTTTAAAATATGGAGATCTACAGATAGGACATATCAGATATTTCATAAAATTTAATAGGTCATTTCATCAAAAAAATATAACGATACAAAGTATATATGCACCAAATAAAATAGCTCAAAACACTTGGCGGGGAGGGGGAAAGCACAATTTCTCCAACCCCTCTAGTACCAAGGAGCCCAAGACCTTGTATATATACGTATGGGCTCTGTCACTAAACACAATCTTAGTTGGTTTTAACCCCTCGCTTTCAGCAGCTAACAAAACAAACAGGCACAAATATAAGTAAAAATTGCACAATTGGATCTTCACCATAGAGAAATGAAAGATTAACTACACAGAAACCTACACATAAATGTGCATGTTTATAATGAAGCAGGATAGAAAGGCAGGGGAAACTTAGGGGCATGCAGAGGAAAGGGAGCCTCTCACCCTGGAATCCAGTTAAAGTCTCCAGACAGCAGAAAAGCAAGAATTCCACACCACAATCACTAATTGAATCACTAACCATCCAAGGCTCTTCTCCCATCCCTCCTGTAAGCCTAAAATTTCTTAGGAATCTCATCAGAAACTGTATTTACAGGGGAAGAAAATTACCACACTCATTGGGCAGCTCTGGTGGCTCCTGGGTTTTCACCTTATCAGACTGTAATTCCATCCAAGACATCTATGGAGCCCTCACGCAGCCCACTTATCAAGAGGACTGAGAGGAAAGACTTCTTAACGGCCTTTTGAGATATAACTTGAAAGTCATGAAGACAGCTAAGTATACTTCTCCAAATGATTTTGCCTCTCCGTTTAGAAGCCACACTTACAATTGGGTATCTTACTTGTCCCTACTGCTCTTTAGGAAGCACACATTTGGGTATGTCTTGTTTTCTTTTGAGTGCCTCTCTTTCTCTCAACCCTCACTTTTAAGTTTATATTAAAATATATTAAGTTCCAACTAGCCAGTTCTTTTCCACAATGAAGTTACAAATGTCAGCTGGGCGTTGGTGGCGCACGCCTTTATTCCCAGCACTCGGGAGGCAGAGGCAGGCGGATATTTGTGAGTTTGAGGCCAGTCTGGTCTACAGAGCTAGTTCCAGGACAGGCTCCAAAGCTACAGAGAAACCCTGTTTCAAACAACAACAAGAACAAAAAAAAAGTTACAAATGTCAGTTTGGCCTGAGTTGAAGTTCCTAAAAGATTATGGGAACTCCTCAGGAGTTTTCTGTCCCCCTCACCACTAAAAATAAGACTTATTTGCAATAGTAAAAAACAGATTTAATTTTTTTAATTTTATGTGTACTAGCACACATAATAGCAAAAAAAACAAAACAAAAACAAATCTTCAAACAAGAAAGGACTATGATACAGCTAACAACTTAGATATCCAAGTCACTGCATGAGTCAACAATTAGAAAGCCTCATTTAAAGAACATGCTAATGATTCCACTTAGCAGACTCCAAAGTGAAAAAGAAATCACAGTTAGAAAACAGATTGGTAAGTGCCAAGGTTAAGTATAGGGGGAAGCATGACCCAAAAAAATAGCATAGTAATATTTCTTGGTAGCGAACTAAGTTTAATACCAATTATGGTAACAGACAAATTTGGATATGATAAAAACTTTATATTAATATACATCACGACCATTATGTATTTACAGGAAAATGGATATAGCTGAAAATTGTATTAGGCAAAGTAACCCAGCACAGATAAATACTTGATGTTTTAATTTTTTAAACTGTAGATTTGAATTTTTATGTATGTATATGTATTTGGGGTGGCATAAGTCATAATACTAAAGAAGGGACCATGAAGGGAGAAAAGAGGTCTTAAGGGAGAGGGTAGGAAGAAAATGAGATCAGCAGGAGGAGGAGAACTGTGGTGGTTTAAATGAGAAATGTCCCCCATAGGCTCCAGTATTTGAATTCATAGTTTCCAGGTGGCGGCACTGTTGGAGGAGACTACAGAATCCACAGGAGGCAGACCGTCCCCGAACATCAGTGAGAGCGGGAAGTGAGAATTCATAGCCTCGCCTACTTCAGTTCCTTCTAGGTGAGGCTAGAAATATATTTGAGCTGATGTGACCTCAGCTCCCTCCATACTTCCCCCAACAATATATATTTCCCTCTGAAATTATAAGCCAAAATAAACTCTGTTTCATAAGTTGTTTGTGGTCATGGTGTTTATATCAGCTACAGAAAAATAACCAATATGACCATCAACTAAAGCAAAGTGTGTAGGGAAATGTAATTTTTTTTACAAAAAATATTTTTTAACAATTTTTGTGTTGATCTCTATGTCAGTTTCCGCCGCAGCAGCCTGCTCTGCTGCCAAAGTAGTGACATCATCACCAGTCGTCAGGTGCCTTCCACCGCCAGCTGTGCGACATGAGCACCCTTTAAAAGTACTCAGCAGAGCACAGCTCTCTCTCTCTGTCTCTTGCCTCTAACTCCTTTCTTTGCCTCTTCTTTCCATTGTTTCAATGCTAGGTCTGTTGCAATACTGGCCTCAAGCTCCCTATGTAGCTAAAGATGACCTAGAATTCCTTATCCTCTTTCCTTCACCTCTCAAGTGGTAATGGAGGAATTACAGGTGTGGGTAACCATGCCAGACTCTTACCCATTTTTTAAAAATAAGCATTGTTGTCATGTGTGGTGGCACACGCCTTTAATCCCAGCACTCCAGAGACAGAGGTTGGCAGATCTCTGAGTCTGAAGCCAGCCTGGTCTACAGAGTGAGTTCCAGGACAGCCAGGACTGCTACACAGAGAAATCTTGTCTTAAAACCCCCCCCCCCAAGGGGGGGGGGGGACCCAGTGGGAGGAAGGGAATGAGGAAGGGGGGGAGGGAGAGAGACAGAGGTAGGGAGGAAGGGAGGAAAGTGACTTCTCTTTTAGCCTTCTTTGTTCTATTACTACAAAAAACCTCAGGAAACATGCTTCCATGTTACAACATGGAACTTGGTGTAGCCTAAATCTGTGTTCCTGATATGCTCTCTCATATCTGACCCCAGAGTAAACCACTGAGGAACTAGTCTGTCTCCAGCTTAGGTCTAAAAAACCATTTTATAGTAAAGACAAACTAGGTTCGTTCTTGTTTATGATTAAACCTGTTTCTCAAGGATTGGACTATGCCCCACCTGTAACCTCAACTACAAACAGTTCTGTAACTGCATGTTTCAGGAATGACAACCATGCTGATTTCAAAAGCTTATATGACTGACTGCCAATGACTACCTTGGTATGCCCACCTTGCAACCTTGCCTTTTTTTGGGGGGGACTAACTTGTTAGGTTTATGTTCTGCTCCTGTAACCCCATCTATTTTGCCCACCAAATCCCGCATTTGGGAACCCTCTACCCCTGAGCCATAAGAGCCATAAGAGAGTCTTCCTCTCATCCAACGCTGCCCTCTCAGACCTCTCCTTAGGTGGAGGCAGTCCATGTTCATGAATTCAAAAGCTTGCTGTAATTAATCACTTACTTTAATGAACTTGGCCATTATGACTTGGGTCTTTCTTCTCAAATCTTTGGAACTAACACTAC